ATTCACCTGGATGAAAATATATCTATCGCTCATGGTATGTTTTCTCTCTTTAATTTATCCATGTGTATTGACTGAGAGTGACAATTATCTAGAGTGATATCATGTTTGCAACTGTTTAATGCATTTTGCAACAATTTTGTGGCTTTTTTCGCATATTATGAAACTACTTTCTAGTACTATGTAATTTTGATAAAGTTGTGTTCTCTGAGCTGGATGGTTTATTTGCGAAGCTTTCACTGCCCTACTAGTCAACATCTTCAGGGCAAATTAGAGGCATTGAAAAGGATGACCAAGAAATAGTGATGTTCTTCGAAATCACAGCATTATATATCTCAATTGAACAGAAACTAGCAAAAGAAACCATGGAGCAATTACTTAGCAACGACGAACACCTTCCACAACAATCAAAAATGCGACACACAAGCTGGATGGAATGCATAAACCAATGTCTAACAACGTACTACCAATTCAACGGCCAAATATATGAACAAGTCACAGGAACACCTATGGGATCGCCAATATCATGTTTCATTGCAGAAGCAGTGATGCAAAGGCTAGAAAACATAATTCTACCAAAGATCAAACCCAAGATTTGGATACGTTATGTAGACGACACGTTTGTAATTATCAAAAGAAACGAGTTAGATAAAGCTCACAACCTGATAAACAACGTCTTCAACGACATCAAATTCACAAGAGAAGAGGAATCAGAAAACAAATCCCATTTCTGGACGTCTTAGTCAAACGAACAACGACAGCGGAATTAGAAACTCAAGTCTATAGAAAATCAACTCACACAGACCAAATCCTGAATTACAACAGCAACAATCCAATAGCACACAAGAGGAATTGCATACAAACACTATTCAAGAGAGCCAGGACTCATTGTAGCACTCCCACCTTAAGGAAAATTGAAGAAAAATATCTCATGGACGTCTTACAAAAGAATGGATATCCACGGAATTTCATCAAAATACATATACCCCAAAGCCAACCTATCAAACCAAAAGCCCCCAAGGAAAGCACAAAGAAAATCGCCTTACCATATATAAATATATATAAATGATATCTCAGAAATCACTACAAGACTCTTCAAACCTTTAGGAATTGACGTCGCACACAAACTAACAAAATCACTTCACTCAGCTGGCTCTATGTCAACCAAAAGAGAGACTCAACAACGAACGAAGATAACACCAACATCATCATCTACAAAATAAATTGTAACAACTGCGAAAAACACTCCACTGACCACAGTGGACATCCCCCTAGTCTTCGTATCTATGATCATAAACTGGCAGTCAAAATACATGACATTCACTCCCGCATATAGCCACCCTGCACACAGAAAACCACGGATATCAATTCGACTGGGAAAACCAACGTTCAAGTATTAGACAGAGGAAACACCAAGAATGCTAGAGAATTTATTGAAGCCCACCTGATATTCCAGTGAATGGTCAATCAATAGATACATCAACATAGACAAAGTTTACTAGTCGATAAAAAGGAAATCTCTCTCTCACACACACAAAGGGTTCAACTTCAGGTCAAGGAAACAATCATTGCCAATACCACAAGTAGCATAGAGGGTGTGAAAATACACAAAGACAACCAATGACGACGTTCAAGTTCACCTACCATGAGAGAGAAGACCAATACACTAGTGGAGAAATCTAGAAGCTCACTTCAATTCAAATTTAAGTATTCGTGCTGGAGAATTTACCTAGTAGGGGGCAATGAAAGCCTCACAAATAAACCATCCATCCAGCTCAGGGAACAGAACTACATTAAAATCATCCACGTGAGCTACAAATTTACTCCATCATAACCATGTAATTTTGTATCTATGCCCCTTGTGATATGTATTCAAACTTTAAACTTTCATATCAAGTTGAAAATGATTATCGTCTTTAATCTGTCTCATCATTACTATGTTGAATTGAATAATAATGGTGATTATATGAACTTGTGTATAGAAATTCGGAATGTAGAGCTCATGAGGGTGAAATCTCTGGAAGGATGGACATCTATGCTAAGCTTCTTGTTCTTTTCTGTAGAATTTTTAATTCCTTTCAAGCATTTATGACTTCTCATGTACTCTCATATATCTTCAGATAACTAATCAACAAAACAATAATAAGCATGCCTATATGACAATTTTTAAAAATGACAAATATCAGCAGCCTGTTAAAGACTTCGGCTATCGAATCAAAACTCCATCAATACATATTAGCATATATTTCATTTCTCTTATTCAGTTTGCTTGAATTACGGATCATCATTGAACAAAGCCTGGAATGGTAGTCAGCTCTCCATCTCCAAATCATCGACTTTGAAAAGGCCTTCGACAGCGTCGATCGAGAAGTGCTTTGAAAAATACTTCGCTACTACGGGGTGCCACCAACAATTATACATCTCATCCAACAGCTGTACGACAATGCTGCATGCCAAGTAGTCCACAACCGGAAACTTACGGAGTCCTTCGAAGTGAGGACAGGAGTAAGACAAGCTGGCTGCCTACTATCGCCAATGATTTTCCAGATTGCATTAGACTAGATAATGCGACAAACAGCGGGCAGTGAGCAAACAGGCATAAAATGGACTCACATAAAAAACTTGAAGGATCTGGACTTCGCCAGTGATATATGTCTCATTTCCCACAAACTGGAAGATATGCAAGTGAAAGCCAACAAGTTGGAAGAACAAGCATCAAAGATAGGACTTCAGGTGAACATAGTGAAAACAGAGGTGATGAAGATTCCTGGGCAACACCTCCAACAGCAACAACAACAACAGACAACAGTCAGCCAGCATAAATGGCAGGAACCTGAAAGAAACAACCTCCTTCACCTACCTAGGAAGAAACGTTTCAACTACGGGCAGACCGAACTGACGAGGATATCAAAGCAAGAATCGGAAAAGCAATACAAGCTTTCACTACTCTCAAGTCTGTGTGGAGGTCAACAGCACTCACCATCAAAAATAACACCCGGATTTTCAACTCCAATGT